AGCCTTATAATTACAGAAAGGGAATGTAACGTAAAATTATATTTTTTCTTCCACTGAAAAATTACCACTTCTAAAGGATGGTCATATCAAAGTACCAACATTCGATTCCCATACCAGTACTAATTTAAGAAGGAATGTAACGCAAAATTATATTTCTTCTACTACCTAGTTAATTACAAGTTATAAAACGGTGGTGATATTAAAAAGATAACTATTAAATTCCCACATCAGTTACAGTAAGAGGGAATCCAACGTAAAATTATATTTCTTCCACTGTATCTAATAAATTACTACCTAAAAATTCGATCTCCATATCAGTACCAATTTAACAGGGAATCTAACGTAAAATTATATTTCTTCCATTACCTAGAAAATTACAATGTCTAAAACAGTGGTCAAATGAAAACGACCAACAGTAGATACACCCCACCAGTCACAATTTAAGAAGGAATCTAAGATAAAATTATATTTTTTCTTTCACTGCCTAGTAAATTACCATTTCTAGAACGATGGTTAACTCAAAGACTAACATTCGATCCCTCTATCAATACCAATTTAAGACGGAATCTAACTGTATTTCTTCCACTACTTAGTAAATTACAATGTCTAAAACCGTGATGATATCAAACAGACCAAAATTACCAATCCTGTTCGAAAAACGTTGTTGATCCCTTTATGCTTTTAACAGGATTCATCGCAGTCCACAAACTTCTTGATCTATTCTGATTTGGTTCGAATCGTGTTTCATGAGTTAGTTTCGGGACGGACGACTTTTCCAACGATCTATCGCAACCACCATCGACCGGATGTGCCCACCGTTGAGCGTTCACGCGCGATCTCCTGCGCGCGCGGGACCGTTTTCACGCGAGCTCCCGATGCACACACTTCTGCCCCGGAAAAATGCAGGGCACTTCGCCACGGCATGCGGTGTATGTGATATGCACTTATACGGCCGGATCGAGACACACGTGGGCACACTAGCAGCCACCTTTTTTTCCCCGTGTCTCCACACCCTGTTTCTCTCTTCTCCAGTCCCACAACGGTCGGCCGGTGTTGTTCATGTAACGGGTGGTTCTTGTTACAAGTGACCGCGAACAGAAACTCCGAACACCTTCGTGGATTTAGTTATGTTTCATACATTCAATGAGTCCAAGGGTAAATCGATCATAATCATAAAAAGTAAAAGTTTCAGTATTTGAAAAACAAACTTTATGAATTCCCCCTCGGTATGCACAATCCGAATTTTAAAATTTATAAATTTTAGGGAAGTAAAGTTTGTTTTTATAACACAGACTTTGATTTAACAAGTTGGACTCTGATCATTCTTCCACTGGAAAAATTTGACATTGATCGTTCTTTTCTGTACCCAAGATTCTTTGGTCCTTAATTTTTCTAACCTGTGCACGTTTTTTTCTTCTATTTATTATACTAGAGTTCGGTAACATTTTCTAGGCTCCGATACATGGTGGTAAAATCTCAATTTCGATTCAGAATGGACTGTGATTGTTTTTTCTCTGGATTCTTCATATTTTATCATCTGTTTACCCCCTAACAACGATAATAACGACGCAATATTGTGTATAATTAAATTTGATTAATAGTTGATTGTCTACTATTAATTTAAAAGTGTATCATGATCAGTACTAGAGTGTTTAAATTATAAAGTCATGCAGTACTATAAGCAGCTACTTTTAGATTCTGTAAGAGATTTTAAAAGTCTTTAAAAAGACCAATTTAGATGCGAAGGGTTGCTCTAGCTCTTGAAGGATCTAGCAAGTCAAACATACATAGCATTTACAGGTTCGTATCTAGAGCGCCTAGAACACAGGTCACCTACTATCCAGAACATCTGGAACTGTAAAGGTAGCTACTGTCTAGAAAACGAAGTCTCAGGAGTGAGGGTTATCTAGAACACATACAGTTATTCTATCTAGTACTTGTAGATACTGCTTTTAAAATTCACCATGAACATCCTTAACATCATAAGTCAGCATAATTAGAAACAGTAATAGAACAGTATAATTTTGAACAATATTAGTTATTAGAAAAATTTAACAAGTTTTAAATTGCTTGGGGTCATGTTACCTGATAGATCATGTTACCAAATCGAGTGGTATAATTTTTATATTTTTTGTGTTATCTGTTACTCTGATTGAAATCTGAAAAAAAAAAAAAAAGATAAAGAAGAACATACATTGCGTTAAATTCGAACGTATAATTACTGATACTTATGGCGTCAATGCAAATTCCAGTTTTCTATTCAGGATTTCATCGAGTAAAATATGAAATACAAACTTCATGAATGTTCATTAAAGTTTTTCTATCGTACTATTTTGCATGTTCGCGCATGCCAGAAATGCATAAAATCAGCAGTCTAATTATGATTTACACGCGATCGATTTTTCGTCGACACTGCCACGCAAGTTTGCGCTAAGGGTCGTTGGTTGCTATTACTGTCTATAAAACCGCGAGTTATCTCGATGAAAGTAAAGATACAATATTCATTCGCTTATTAGAATATAACGCTTTGTTGATACGGTTTTATACTGAATGTCTCGAATCCTTTCACGAACAGTTAAGTACTTACTACATACATTATATCAGATGTTCTTCACGTTGGTGATGCAAATGAAGATGGTAGTATATTAATATTCACCGTATAATTATTTGCAGTAATTAAAAAATTCACCGAATTGAGAGAAATCGATGTATTTACAAATGCAAATTCTATCGAAGCTATTATACAGTAAATTCTCGATGGCTCCTCGGCACTGAACATTAAATATTCCATAAACTAATGGCCATATGCGGCTGAAACAAATATCATTGGCTTCGGAATTTCAAGCTCTATCACTGTCTAACCCTCATTAAGAATTCAGCGTTACACCTGGAGACCTTTCTTTGTTAGTGCCGAGGACCCTTCGAATAGGATTTATTGTAATTATCACCGTGAATATATACGAACTTTCTACCTTACTATTTTCTTATTCTAAAGTCCAGGTGTCTTCAGACAGAGAATTAATTATTTTATTTTAACTAATTGTCTGGAAACATTTATTGCATATTCCAACAGTGGACAAACTGCGTCTCCCGAGACAATACTGGGTTTCATTGCCATTTTTCTTAAACTTTTATATTAATAATCTATCGTAATATAGTAGTATGAACCAATATTAGAATACATTATTTCTGTGGTTCTTGAACATTACAAAATGTATGAAAAGTATTATATATGGCTTTTATTATCGGAAAAACTTGCCCACCACTGGCATATTCGATGTGTCCTAATACCTATGATCAAGGAGTGTAGCTCTCAAGCAAAACCTCGTTTTCCAAAAAGGCGTAGAAGAATGAATGAACGAAAAAGAGTGATGTGTCACGGTGCTAGATCACAAAGGATACCGTTTTATCCTTTAGTCACCCGTGGTATGATACCTAGGAGGAAGTGGTGCAAGGACGTATCGCTACAATCCTAAAGGCCTCGTATTAGGTACCATTTTATTCGAATAATACATAGTGAAAAGCAGCAATAGTTAAGATCGTCATCCTGACTTTAAAACAGTTAATGAGATTAAATAATTGTTTTCCAAGTGTCTACTCATTTACAAAGAAGTATTATTTCACTAAACATGGAAATTTACACGTTTAATCAATTAGTCAATAGTAATGGCAAAGTACTTTCAATAGTAATGACAAAGTACTTTCCTTTTATCTTTCGAATGAATCCCCATCTCTGGCTATCAGTACACGCATGATCGACCGCAAAGGCGTGTAAGCGTGATGTAGCGATAATGCAGGCGTGAGTAGGAGAGATACTCCTCTTTCGCTTGGACAGCTGCAGGAAGCATTGCCAGACGTTTGTGGAATGCTGGGAAAGTGATCGTTTGATGATCTAGGCTTTTACTGAACTACGAGTCTCTCCCTGATCATCGGAGATTCGTGTCGTCCTTTTTGCGGTTTGATCGTTTGCGAGCATCGACTTCTTCGACACTCGTTCCCTCTCGTCGCTTTTTATCATTCGGTGAGAGGACTCTGAACCAGTTCGTTCGAACGTTTCACCAAAGTTCTGATGGGGAATGGGGAAATTTATCGGGAGATTGTGAATTTTTCTTATAATTTATCATTTGCTGAGATATGTGCTCTTTTTTGCTTATTTGTAAGCGAATTATATACACATCTATGCTATCTTAACCCTCGTCTGCCTCTCATTTTCCCAACTTAATTTTTCCCTCGGTGTCAAATCGACGCAGTGGTACAAAATTAATATAATGAAGAGATAAATACTTAAAATTTCAAATTCTTTACAATAAAAGAAACGGAGCCTCAGTTAAATTTACCAACACATGACAGAGTAACGTCATTTCTTTGGAGAAAAATTTATTAAATTGACAGAAGGGACGGACGAGGGTCAACAATATTCATAATTATTCTCTAATAGAGAAGTCTGCAATAGCTGTTCTTCTTATTCACAGAAGTTGTAGAAAATGTTGTGAACTTAAATAGAGGTGTTACAAATTGTTGAGATAAATAATGGATTAGTTATTGCAATACGTATTATAGGATGACGATTTTTCTGAGTGTAGCAGGGAAATTCGCTTTTGGTCTGTCAAACTTAAAAGAGAATTTCGGTATTGTAGATGTTTTTAAAAAGTAATGATTCGATATTTCGAATATTAGTTTGATTATAATATTAATATAACATTAAAACAAATTAATTCTTTTCTCGATTTTAGAGCATAATAGATACATTTTTCATAGATATAGTGTACTGGTTTTGGTTTAATCAATTCTAGTAATGAATTCAGTATCATTTAGTTTTGTAAAAGTTGTCATATTAAAATGAAAATAAATTGATACTTGGTCAGGAGTATAAGCTGAACTGTCATAGGAGATAAGTTAATGAAAGGAAGACTGTTCAGAACTGTCGTACATACTCATTCTCGTTCACTTTTATCAAGGGGTTCAGTTTCCTAATCGCAGTGTTACCATTTTTTTTCCAGGCTATCGCGATGCGTCTGTTCAAACGTCAGTGTTCTGATACCAGTCCGCAGCTAGTTTCGGCTACCCCGTTATCACAGGATGGAGGAGCTGGGCCTCTGGCAGCTTTCCATGAAAATTCCGAGCGTACCAAGAAGAAAGCTCAAAACGAGAACGACGGGTCGGAACGAACTTCCGCCAAAGAAAATACCGGCGACTTACTGAAACCACCCTCCTCGCAAGCTTGTGTCTCGAATCGTAAAGGTAATTTTTAGAAAAATAAAAAAAATAAAGTTGTGCATAGAAAAATCAGATAACACGTTGAATTAAGAATGAACGTTATTCCAATGAGTTAGTATTATTTTTCATTTAATTTCTTGTATATAATAAAGAATGAGGTTTTATTAATAAGTTACGTAGTATTATTTTTTTTATTAAAACTCGATTAAAAAGTAATAAATTAGAATATAATGAGAAATAAATCTTTCAGTCTTATTCGTTATATAAAATAATATTTTAGAAACGAATAAACGTATTATAATAGTTCATAGTTAGAAGAAGAATTTCTGTGGAAAATCTACACTCGAGTTTCGGTGATACGAATAAAACCTGATCATCTAAAAATAATATCTACTTAATCTATACTCGAGTTTTGGTGATAAAAACAATATCTGATAGCTATAATTGATAGTAGACTATCGTAGCGGGACTATTAGTAGTTTCTGATCTTCCCGTTTGAACGCGTTTTCGTCATTCACCTTTAATATATTAAACTCAGCTTTCACCTTTTTAAATAGACATTGGCATTTTCCACTTTTTGCACTTAACATCGTTTACTTCCTGATTAGTATGCGCGGTTTTTATTCGTTCATGAGCATCACGAAGCATTACGCATTTAAGGCACACTCGATGAATTGCTGATCGTGTTTGTCTTCGTTACTGCAGTGAGTTTGATATGAAATTGAAGTAGATACATAATGTATTAAGTGTGTGAAAAGTAAAATGAAAATCGGATTCATTAATATCTCAAAAAGTATAAAACTGATTATTCTGAAGTGCATATTATTTAATTATTCGAGTCAAGAATTTCTTGTGAGTTCATAATAGTAAATGTACCTCATTAAGGAACAAAAATTAATCGACAGATTCGTTTTGCATCGCAGGAATTTCAACATGGGGAAGAAAAGTAGGCCGAAGATGGGATCAGCTGAAGAGATCGGATAGTTCGGAGTTGCTTTCGGTTTCGGGCCGAAGAAGACGGTGGAGCCCGAATCGGAAAAGTTGTGGCAATGCAACGGACAAGAAAGAAAACGTAAATATTCCACTTTCGAGCACATACATTTGACTTATTAATTTCGTAACACCTGACTAAGTAATTAGGCCATTGTGTCTTCACTATCATAACTATAAAGTTAAACGAGCCTTTTATCCATTAAGAATTTTTTTAGAAATTTTATTTAATCTCTGAAGTGAAGAACCGCATTCCATGGCGTTATATCGTACATACACTAAAGAAGTGAATTAGAAATTAAACAAAATTTTATCATTACTCTTAGGAGTCTGATAAAGACTATAAGCATAATTACTTCGATCAATTTTAAGCCTTAGAGATTTTCAATTTCTTTTTTTTAAATATTCAGTATAATTAAAGTCTTCGTATCGTTAGATCATTGTAAAATTCTTTCAATTCTTCTGGAAAAAATACGAAATAATTATAATGGAATAGTGAACTATAAATGGAAGAATGTAGAAGATACCCAAGAACGTATTATATAACCACCTAAATAAATTATGTTTCATAACAATTAATTTTGGTATGACCTACTAATTGATACATAAACCAGAAAATCAATAATACACCTAACAATAAAGCAGAAAATATTTAATATCAAGAATGAAATTACCAGTCTGAAGTATCGTAAAGTAGTCTGAAACGCAGTTTTGTAAGAAACAGCCTCAAATCATTCGAAGCACGTAAATCGAAATGCGTCGACTATTTCTATGTTCTCGTCTTCACCAAGTGTTTTGTCTCCGCAGGGTACCAATGGATCGCCGGAACTACCAAAGCCAAAGAGAATCTCTAGAGTCGAATCCCTGCGAAACTTATTCAGGAGCAGCGAACGGAATAACAACTTTCTAGCCGGTGACGTGTCTGCTAGAAACGTGACGATTCAAGAAGAGGATGTCACCTGCATCAGTCACTATCCGATGGAGAAGGCGTTGAGCGATGGCGCGATAAAGAACGCGCCCTTCCGGGTCAGCTCGGACGACAGTCGATTGGATCCACGTGGCGTTAATCTTCAGGAGAAGAAGAAACAGCTCAGCCGCAGCATACATGATCTCCAGGAGCAACAACGCGTTTTGGATTATATTCTGACGAACCAGGACATACTGAAAACGGAGAAAGGATCAGCGTTCGCGAAGGATACCTTGGACAAAGTCAGACGGAGCACCAGTCCGAAACGTCGAACCAGCCAATCGACATCGGATGTGAACAAAAACAACGTCTCGACACAGACGAAAGATTTCTTAAGCTCCCAACTGAATAACATCAAGAAGAACTTGTTTAACGCCCGAGCAAGTGGTAGCGAATGCGACAGGTAGGAATTCATATTAATTGTTCTTTCATAATTTATGAACGCTTACATGCCAAAAATACTTCTTTTCTTCATAGCATTATTCCATTTAATATCTTATACGATATTTTACGAGGAATTGTCTGAATTTTTATTGTGCCTTTCTGGAATTTTTAAACGATTTTTAGTAACGGGTGCTACCTATTACTCAACTGCGCAATCTGGAAAACAATAAAATACAGGCATTTTAGGTGTTCTTATAACTGGATATATTCGAGTTAATATTCTACTCATAGTAATATTTACGAGGACATAATTTTATTGCAGTCCATTTCATATTCCACTTGACAATGTCAGAGTTCGTAAAAATTTATTTCCACACGTAGGCAGTTTTTCAAATTTTAAATAAATTGAAAATTTCCATATGGTTTCGAAGTAATTCAAATGCTTATCCTATTTTAATAATATTCGTTATTTATTCCCATCGTCCTCCACCATCTTGACTAAACAGAAGATTGGGAGGATATCTTTTCGCTACACCTAATACTTTCACATTACAATTACTGCCTATTTATTTCCACAATTTGTTTCCTATTATTTTCATAATTTCACCTATTTATTTCCTATTTTATTCCAAATATTTCTATAAGTTTATTATCTGTAAATCAACATTGTACGTCAATTACATAAAACTATTTGTACCCATTTACAGAACAGACGCACCGAGACCCTACACAACGACAGGTCTGGAGGACTTGATGAGCAACTTGCGACTAGGTTGCGACGAAAGCGGCTACGATTCCGACAGCACGCGAGCCGGAGCGGACTCTCCAGACAGCGGGAAGTCCGTGCCACCGATGTTAAAGCCCCGTAGCTTCTCCATAACATCCGACGATTACCACGGGATCGATTTGTCCTTACCAGCTTGCACACCCAATAACAGGGACGTGGCGACAGGGACCGAAGGTACCGAAGTTGGACCGTCCTGTCTCGACGAGACTATTGTTCTCGGGAAAAGCTTGCTGAACGAATCCGTAAGGACAGACACAACAGCATTGATGTCCGATGGAGATGAAACGGACAGTTGCGACGAAGACACCTTCGCAGGATTCGCCGAGTTCCACATGAGCTGTCCTGCTCAGTACCCAAAACACGACAGCACCCTGCGAAAATGTGACACTGGTCTGTCGAAAGCATCCAGCACAGGGACTTCAATGAATAATAATTTTGTAGAACCTGGAACGTCCACCTGCGAAAGTAACGAACTCTCCAGGTTACCCGAGAAGCGATCGTTCGCCAAATCGGAATCACTGTCTCTTTCGCAGGCGGTGAAGATACAGAACCTACAGAAAGAGACAAGATCTCAGATACCCCTAAAGTCTCGGAAGCACACTAATTCCAGCGCGTTGAATCTACTAGATAACGCCGCCTCCCCGTGCAAGGACAGTCCTCCAGCATCAAAAATCGTTTCGACGATCGTCAACAGTCCCTTGCAATACTACAGCCCAAAGAGGTCGCGATCGAACATGGAACCAGAAGACGTGGCGAACGCTAGGAATAAATTGAAGAAGCCTGCACTGGTTACGAAGATCGAGCAACCAGCTGCGACTCATATGGCGACGCCAGCGAAGACTCTGATCCGTCGAGAACTGAAGACGATGAAGCTTTCCGTGGAGAACTCGGGTAGCCTAGGTATCTCTGTGGAGAGGCGAGAGGCCGTCAGACCTTTCTACGTGATCTCCAAGATGGACGCGAACGGGGAAGCAGCGAAATCGAAGCAATTCCGGATCGGGGACGAGATTGTCCGAGTCTGTGGGCGAAGGTTGCGCGGAATGTCGATCGCGGAAGCTAGAAACGCGTTGAGGAGCTGTACAGGAACTGTGGAGCTGCAGATCGCCAGGGAGCCGACTTTCACGTTTGGCGAGGAACTTGGCGACACCTGGGGCGATATTTTGGTCCGCACACGAAGCGACTCCGAGGTGTGGACGTTGAAGGAGGAGAAGACTGAGGCGGAGGTTTCTGTGTCTGTTGACACGGAAGCAAGACGAGAGGACCCGTCCAAGTGCAAGATCGTCGGAGCGTTAACGAAGGACGGGAACAACGTGTCGGCGAGCGCGATGGAGCGAATGGAAAGTGACAGTGAGCTAAAAAGGGAATCTGACCAGAAGATGACTGGCATGAGGAAGTTCCAGGTGGTCAGGAAACGCGGTACGAATACGGTTTCCTGTTCGAGAAGGGCGACCAGCCTCTCGATGGACCTGTTGACCATTACGTTGGAGAAAGGCGCAGCGAAAAAATTAGGATTCTCGATCGTCGGTGGATCGGATAGCAACAAAGGGTCTATGGGTATTTTTGTGAAGGACATCATGGCCGGGGGCCAAGCAGCCGAGGATGGAACACTGAAAGTTGGTGATGAGATACTGGCGATCAATGGGATGTCCATGGACGGACTGACGCACGCGAAGGCTTTGCAGTCGTTCAAAGCCGCGAAGGCTGGGAAAATGGTCCTCCACGTGGGACGACGGGATCCAACGCACAAACAGTTGTGTTATAGGCGATAGTATTTGGTGGTTATAACAGTGGGTTAGTTCTGGTGCTTTGCTTTAATTAGTACAGTCTTAACGGTGGGCGTTCGGTCGACACGTGAAGTCAGTTGACAAAGTACTATGAAAAATAAAATTTTAATAGGGATCTTTACTAACTGTAGGATACGTTTTCTACTCAACTATAGAGTTGTATTTTGTTTTATTTTATGATTTTTCACTGCACCATTTGTCGACTGAGAGTCCTGTTTAGTGCTGCATAATAACGTTAACGGTGCTTTGCCTATGGATAGGCGGTAGATTCTTGAGGTTTATCGATTTCATGGAAAACTTTTGGAATGCAAGATTGTTTACATATGTTTATATACATGTATTATGTGTACCGATAAGGAAACCACTATGTCTTGTCGAAATGAGTATTCATTTCTGTACAAGTCAAGAAACTATACTGTTGTAATTTACACATATATTCATAGTGACTTTTCCGCACGTTACACCATTTTTACTCAAAGGAAGATCATCTTTAATTTAAAATATGTTGTTTAACAATGAAAAAAAACAGAGTTGATTACTTATTGGTACACCTAGTAGATGAAAATTTTGAATATTGAGTATTCCAAAAAGGATGAAATGAATTGAAAATTGCATGTTCTCAATACTAATTGATTTTTCTATTGAATATTTGACTTTGGGCTACAATGGTCTAATAAGAAATTGTTATCTTACAGATATATCATTCAATCAAAATCCTATGATTGCCTGGACAAGCTGACGGAGGCCGGAGACGAATGAAAAAATTAAGAAGTATCGGATAATCATATTTGCCAGTCACTAAAAAATTGAACTATCCTTATTATTAATTTAACACGTGAATCGAATCTTTTGTCAAAGATCTTATTTTGTCACTGTCGCGAGGAGGAAAATGTATATATTTTCGTGTATAAATTCCGCGCACGTAATTACGATTCACAAACATAATTGATTATCAATAATTACCAACGTAGCAACATCGAGCATCACATTCTTCATTTCGTCGTAAACTTTTCTATCCAGGTTTCAGAAAATTCACAAAATCTCGAATCGGTGATTCGTAATCAACGTGTCGCGTGTATCATTCTGTAAATTATGTTATTGTACCTTCGGCGTTTACGTTAATTATGACTATTTTTTCCTTAAGATGGTATTTGTGATATCGGTTGACTATTATTTTTGTTTCGATTAAAGAGCGATCTACGATGTAAGTATCTCTTCAATTCCCCGCTTCAGACTAATGAGATTTAATTATTTCGCGAGCAATACCGAATGGTCCCATTTAAAAACTGAGATCCACGACGATTCGTAATTATATTCTCTACTTAACAAATCTAATTATTTGAATATTAATTTAATTGATTGCAATATAGATGAAAATTAGGAATAACAGAATATTCGTGTTTCGATCGTAATTAATATATTACACTGCGCGTAAGTGTCATAAATGATATTTAATTGAGTTTTCTTCAGTTTTTATCTGGGAAGACTCGCTGGTTTTGAATGTGCCTTTGTATAATAGCATAAGAGGATCGTAATTGTAATAATAACTGTAACAAAAATTGTACATAGTCATATCCCGTTAGATGTAACACGCTAACATGTTGGATTATGGCTCTTTAATTCAGTGTAGCGCGGATTTAACGTATGTTTTGCCTCGAAACATATTCAGTTTTGTTTAATACAAGCTACACGCCGTGGAACGAAAACGATTAACTGGGTTGAGTACTCATCATTTACTCACTACTCAATTAGATGTAAGCGTAGCATTAGATTAGTCGATTAATACACGTTGTGTTTTAAGCTACTGAGACTGACATTCGGTATGTCTACCTGAGAAATGCTGTGATATTCATTGTAGTCGCCTTAGTTGGTATCGTACAAACTGTATTTAAAATAAACCTGGTTTTGTTAATAAACGTATGTATACGGTTAATTCGCTTTCTGCGTGTCTACGTTTCTAACTAACATTAACATTTAAGCATTGTTCCTTCAGAGGGACGACTGGAGAAGGGCGTTAAATGCGAAAGAAAAAATTAAACTATGAACAAATTTTAATAATGTATGTGTAAAAATACATTTGAAACGTATTCTTATCTTTGTATCGAAAAATAATAATTCCAGTTTTAGGTTCATTTCATTCGAGACATTTTTACGTAACAGTTTTAAATTCTCCATGGATAAACATGAATAATTTTTTATTTCTTTAAACACTATTAAATTAAAAAATTTATCATTGGATAATTTTCTAATAAGTTTTGTTCATACTATAATGTTACAAAATGAACGTGAAAGACTGCATTGCGAAAATATTAACATAAGAACATTCTTATATATTATGTATTCTTAGATTCTCATATATTCGTATATATTCCTTACATATGTGTGCTTATAAACCATTCACTTGTTAGGCCTAATGGAATATTCTAACATTCATATATTCATTACATAAAAAAGCAATATATTTACATTACAATTTATCATACTATAAAATTACAGTGGTGCGTACCATACGGTTGAGAAACTGTTCATCTTAAATGATCACGCGCGAGTTAAGTTACATTTGTAAATTTTAAAACATCTAGCACGTGTCATCCGTATTGTTGCGAAGCGGACTGAGGTGGTAGATACATCATATTTTGCTGAGGAGGTGGAGCAGGATAATTCGGTTGGGGAGCAGGATAGCTTGGCTGAAGCGCAGGGTAATTGGGCTGAGGGGGTGGAGCAGGATAGGTCGGTTGTGGAGCAGGGTAGCTTGGTTGTGGCGCCGGGTAACTGGGCTGAGGGGCAGGATAACTTGGTTTTGGAGCTAGTGGAGGATAATTAGGTGGAGGAGTAGGATAGGTAGGCTTAGGGGTTGGTTGAGGAGCAGGATAGGTTGGTTTTGAAGCAGGATAACTTGGCGCAGGAGAGGGATAAGTGGGTTGATAAGGTAGGGAAGGGAAACTTGGTTTTGGAGCTGGCGGAGGATAATTGGGCGGAGGCGCAGGATAAGATGGTTTAGGAGTTAGGGGAGGATAATTTGGTTGAGGAGCAGGATAACTGGGCTGAGGAGCAGGATAATTTGGCTGAGGAGCTGGGTTATTGGGTTGAGGCGGTGGAACAGGATAATTTGGTTTAGATGGTAGATAACTGGGCTGAGGAGCAGGATATGTGGGCTGAGGAGGTGGTGCAGGGTAGGTTGGTTTAGGTGTCGGAGGAGGATAATTTGGTTGAGGAGCAGGATAACTCGGTTGTGGAGCTGGATAACTCGGTTGTGGAGCTGGATAACTCGGTCTTGGAGCAGGATAACTCGGTTGCGGAGCAGGGTAACTCGGTCGTGGAGCTGGATAACTCGGTCTTGGAGCAGGATAACTCGGTTGCGGAGCTGGATAACTTGGTCGCGGGGCAGGATAACTCGGCTGTGGAGCTGGATAACTCGGTTGTGGAGCTGGGTAACTCGGCTGTGGAGCTGGATAACTCGGTCGTGGAGCAGGATAACTCGGTTGCGGAGCTGGATAACTCGGTTGCGGAGCTGGATAACTTGGTCGCGGGGCAGGATAACTCGGCTGTGGAGCTGGGTAACTCGGTCGTGGAGCAGGATAACTCGGTTGTGGAGCTGGGTAACTCGGTTGTGGAGCTGGATAACTCGGTTGTGGAGCTGGATAACTCGGTTGTGGTGGAGGGTAATTAGGTTGCGGCGGTGGATAATTTGACTGCGGTGCAGGGTAACTTGGTTGCGGTGGCGGATAACTCGGCTGCGGTGCAGGGTAACTGGGTTGCGGCGGCGGATAACTTGGTCTCGGTGTCGAGGGAGGATAGGTAGGTGTCGGTAGATTGATCTTAGTGGGTGAATTATTATAACTCGGCGTAGGGCCTGAAGTCGCAAAGCTATTTGCTGATGCTGTTGACGAATAATTCGGTGTCGGAGTAGTTCTAATTGGATAATCAAAGTTGGACGATGTCGTGGGTATTCTCGAATTGAACGATGGAAACGTTGGCCCAACGGTCGTGGTGGTAGGAAAATTTCCATTCGCCGAGGTAAGCGGTCCAATCAGTTTCACTACACCAGCGGCTCCCGTTGCCGATGCTGTGCTGGTCGCAAAGTTGTTGGGTCCTTGAAAACCTTGCTGGACTCCTCCTAGCCCGAATGGTGGTAGGTACGTGGGCGCTGGCGTTGAATATTGCGGAGGTGTTGGTGGTGGTGGTGGTTGCGGTGGCGGTGACGGTGGGGTGACATACTTCGGTTGCGGTGGTGGAGTTGGTGGCGGCGAAGGTGACGGGGGGTAACTGTACTTTGGTTGTGGAGGCGGTGGCGTTGGGGAAGGCGGCGCCGGTGGCGGTAAATACGAAGGCGCATTCGTTGGCGCTGGAGTCGGGTAGTTTTGAGGAGTTGGTTGGTTATAATTGGGATTCGGCAGCGAAAACGGTATTTGCGGTACATCGTAACTGTATCCCGCTTGCCGGACTATCCGTTCCGTTCGTCCAGCGGCGTGATTGAGCAACAGGAATATCTCCAACTGCGCGGGACGTGCGGTAAAATGTATTTTAAATATGGAAAAAGCAAATCCCGTGGAATTATCACCGAATATCTACGTACCCATACTAATGGCCGCATAATCAGCTAGTGTCTACTGGTAAAACAAAAGTGACAATGCCTTTTATACGAGCACTTTCCCCATTGTCGGTCCCGTGCTCGATGCTCCTCATGAAACCGCACGGGTTTCACAATGGCCCGCCAAACATAGCCCACCATTTGCAGGATATTAAATTGTTGTGTCCCAGTTGCACCGAGGGCGGCTATTAGACTTGCTGTGATTGCACACCTCGGGTGGGGCTGATTTTCTTTTCCTCGTCGTTCGTTGCGTTGTAAGCGGGAGGAGATCTCGTTATGTGGCAACGAATGGAGGGGACGAAGTGTCATTTCGTTACAGCCGCATCGTAACGTCGGCGTAATTTAACCGTAAGACCATAAAGACACTTGTATATCTAATTGGTTGTAATCCCGTCGCAGTTACACGCTCGTAGGTGCGTTCATGTCTCGTTCAACCACGTTTTAATAGATTCGGAATTCGTTTAGACGCACGGCAGTTAACTTTTGACGTGTAGTCTAATTTTAATTGGTCGCAGTCAGCGCGGTTAATGTATCAGATGGTAATTTAATGGCCAGATGTGTTGTCACTCGCCACGGAGTTTACACTTTGTTACCATTAAATGGTAACGATATCGCAGAAAATTCTGTAGTTTAACGGGAATCGTATTCAATAAGTATCATTCTATTATTTTGTTTCCTAAAGCTGTAAAATTTAATATATTGCAAGAAGTATTATATCGAGTACAATTTTTTGAAGTCATTATTCTTACCATTCGCATTTTTAAATGTTTATATTAATGTAATTGTTTCACACTCGTTGAAAAAATCGAGCAACTGATTAAAAGAATGTAATGATACATTACAGGAATTTGTTCATGATCATGTAACAAGATGAATTTACACTAACATAATATCGTACTAGCAGTTTTTATTTTAACTACTTTAATTGTGTATACTTTTTTCATAGGGTATATTTATATAATTATTTTGTTCTCTTAATTCCTTGCTTCAGTAAGTTGCCTTAATTCTTTGTTCCGCTTACTTAAATCGTCCTTTTCCTTGAAGTATTGATCAACATTTTTCGTAAGTTCATTTACATTCGATTGTACTTTCGTAAGTTGACTCTTAATTCTTTACCTTGCCATTAAATGGCAACTTTTCCAAAGTAGCTATCATTCAGCTATCGTTTATTTTATTGTAACTTGCATCTCCCCTTAGCTAGACTGAAGATTATCTTAAATTATGTCCGAGGTTACAAAAGATACAAAACGTTGAATAGCGTATTATACGGCTTCTTGCGAATCGCATTTTTTCCCCCGTCTGTAACAATCTATCAGGAAACTGTGAGAATCCATGGGACGCATGACTAAAGATACGTACAAACTATCGTGATATTCAGAATTCTTGGTACAATGAAAAGTCACGATCATCAATC